CCCGCCCCCCCCTCTCTCTATGGTTCTGTTCTGATTGAGAGGTCAGTTTGAATCCAAGTCCTGTTTATACAAGGGTTTTCTTTTTTCTTTTGGGGAATTGAACCAATTTCTTAGGTTCTCTCTTCCCTTTTTTATCTGTAATAAAGGTACCGGCTTTCTTTTTATTTTCTCGCTATGTTGTTCGTGTTATTATTTCAATTCTTTAGGGTTTGTTTATTCTGTGTTTTGTTAAATTTGTTTTTTCTGGACAATTTTGTAATATTTGAGGATAAAGTTTTGAGCTTTAGTGTTCATTTGGGATTCTTGGTGGAAATTGCCGTGTAATGTTTTCTGGGTTTCACTGGAACGTAGAAAGTTAGCTGTTTTTATTAGTGCTCTAGGAATTGAGTCCTTTAATTTGGTTGAGACTGGCCAAAAAGATTGATTTTTTATCCCTTTTTGGTATTGGGATTTTGAAATTTCAAAGCTGATGTTGATTGCTAGACTGTTTTCATTGCACCCTACCAATGTTGTTTGATTTAGTAGTTAGTTCCCGCCAATAACAACTTAGTAAAAAGTTTCATTAGGCAGAATTGAGTGAAATTTTGTTGTTTTGCGTTAACTTGATGTGGTTGGAAGCCTGAACATGAAATCTTTAATCTATTTTATCTACATTGGTGTAGTAAACAAAAACACAGCTTTCGTCCATTTGGCTGGTAAGATAGCTGAAAGATGGATTTTTCTGACTTAAGTTTTTGAAAATCCACTCTGTGTCCATTCGTTACATAGTCATAGGTATTAAAAGATTGCAGAGCTTGCTTTGGTACTTCTTTTTCCGGTTATCTGTAAATGTGATGTTTTCTCATAATGTATTACATTTTGGGTTCTAATTTATTACTTAATTTTTGGGTTTAGTCAGGTGATGGCGGAGATAAAAATAATAGCTATTTGTCAGTTGGGTGGTGAATTTGAGACGGATAAGGATGGTACTTTGTGTTATACAGGTGGTGATGCTCATGCTATAGACATTGATGACAAAATCAAATTCAATGATTTCAAGTTGGAGGTGGCTGAGATGTTTAGTTGCAATGTCGACACCATGTCTCTCAAATACTTTCTCCCGGGCAATAAGAAGACTCTCATTACTATCTCTAATGACAAGGACTTAAACCGGGTGATAAAATTCCATGGGGATTCTTTCACTGTAGATATTTATGTGATTTTGGAAGATAATTTTCTGTCTGGTGTCTCAAATTTGCCTGCCAGTAGGTACTATCCTTGATGTCTAACCTAAAAACTTTGGTCATTTTGTTGATCTTTTGGAGTATCTTTACCAATTCTTGATTTTGTAGATCAAGCAGGACAACTCTGTCTGAAGAAGAGCCTCCTATTGATGCACCTCTTGCCGTTCTGGAGGATATCACCCAGCCCGATAACTCACTTTCTGCAACTCTTGATCTTGATGTTGTAGACGATACCAATAATGTTGATGTTCATATTGAAGATCCGCAGATTGATCCACTTGAGATTTCACTCATTCTTCCTCTTCTTGCTTCCAATGATGAGAAACATGCTAAAGGTGCACAGCAATGGCAGAATACTATTACTGGAGTGGGTCAAAGATTCGGAAGTGTTCATGAATTTCGAGAGTCATTGCGTAAATATGCCATTGCACAACAGTTTACATTTAGATATAAGAAGAATGATAGCCATCGAGTAACTGTTAAATGCAAAGCTGAAGGTTGTCCTTGGAGAATTCATGCATCAAGGTTGTCAACCACCCAACTAATTTGCATAAAGAAGATGAATCCAACTCATACATGTGAAGGGTCGGTGGTGACAACAGGGCATCAGGCAAGTCGAAGCTGGGTGGCTAGTATTATTAAGGAAAAG